GACACAACACAGTGGACACAACACACAGAACACAACACACAGAACACAACACAAAGGACACAACACAGAGGACACAACACAGTGGACACAACACAGTGGAGACAAAACAGAAGACACAACACAAAGGACACGACACAAAGGACACAACACAGAGGACACGACACAGTGGACACAAAACAGAGGGGACACATCACAGTGGACACAACAGAGGACAAAACACAGTGGACACAAAACTGTGGAGACAAAACAGAGGATGCAACACAGGACACAACACAGGACACAACACAGGGCACAAAACAAGGACACAACACACAGGACACGAAACAAGGACACGACACACAGGACATGACACAGAGGACACAAAACAGAGGACACAACACAGTGGAGACAAAACAGTAAAGACAAAACAGAGGACACAACACAGTAGACACAACACAAAGGACAAAACACAGAGGACACAACAGAGTGGACACAAAACAGAGGACACATCACAGTGGAGACAAAACAGAGGACACAACACACAGAACACAACACAGGACACAAAACAAGGACACAACACAGTGGACACAACACACAAGACACAACACAGAGGACAATACACAGTGGAGACAAAACAGAGGACACACATCACAGTGGACACAACAGAGGAGACAAAACAGAGGACACACATCACAGTGGACACAACAGAGGAGACAAAACAGAGGACACACATCACAGTGGACACAACAGAGGACATAACACTCAGGACACAACACAGGACACGAAACAAGGACACAACACACAGGACATGTCAGAGGACACGACACAGAGGACACATCACAGTGGAGACAACACAGAGGGCACATAAGGACACAGTTGGACACAGGGACAAAGTTGGGCACACAGGGACACACAGGGACACAGTTGGACACAGTTGGACATGGGGACACACAGTTGGACGCAGGGACAGTTGGACACAGGGACAGTTGGACACGGGGACAGTGTGACACAGGGACAGATGGACACAGTTGGACACGGGGACACACAGTTGGACACAGGGACACACAGGGACACAGATGGACACAGGGACAGTTGGACACAGGGACAGATGGACACAGTTGGACACGGGGACACAGTTGGACACAGGGACACTCACGATGCGGTCAGGGTGGAGTTGAGGACCAGGGTGGTGCGGATCCTGTACAGCTGAGCCAGAGTCAGCTTCTTGTGCTGCTGAGCGGGGCTCCTCCTCTTTTTGTGGGACGGTCCCGTTGAGTCACAGCTGGTCTTGGGCTGGCAGGTCCGACCCGAGCCCAGCTGGGTGGTCTCACACAGCCCGGCGGGGGCCCTGTGGGCGTGCGTGTCCTGGGCTCTGTCCAGGCTGGATCGGATCTTGTCTGAGAGTCTGCTGGCGCTCAGACAGTCCTCGGAGAGGTTCAGCTCCGACAGGCTCCGGCTGTACCCCAGAGAGGACGAGTCCCTGTCCTCGCCCTGAGACCCCTGCGAGTCCAGGGAGTGCATGCGAGAGACGGGGTTGTCTTCGTGGACACGTTGCAGGAGATTGTCCTCGGAGCGGGACAGAGTGAAAGAAGACAGCCTCTGCAGACACTGCAGTCTGGAGCGCACAGGAGGCCGCCGGCGAGGTCTAGTCAGCTGGACCACTGACAGCTGAGACCCCTGAGACCCCTGAGAGGTGTTCTCCTCCTCCTCCTCCACCTCCTCTGTTTCTGTCTCACCCAGCTGCTCCTCCTGAACTCCTTCCTCCTCTGCCTCGCTCTGGACGGGCTGTAGCTGCAGCTCTCTCTGGAGGGATTCAGGGGAGAGGGTACCGTAGGCGCTGTCCATGGAGAGGGAGCGAAACTGGGGCTCCAGCTCCTCACTGTGGGGGTCCTCCTCTTGACTGTGGGGGTCCTCCTCTGGACTGTGGGGGTCCTCCTCTGGACTGTGCTCAGAGGACAGGCTGTAGGTGTCCCTGTGAGTGGACTGCTGCGTGTCAGACAGCAGAGACACGCCCGGATCAGAGTCTTTGTCTGAGCTTCCTTCAAGGTTCGAGCTGGAGGCAGGAAGCTGCTGAACATCAGCGTCCATCACTGACAGCGTCTCAGTGGAGCCGTCTGATTGGCTGGAATAAAAAATAATACTTTATAATAAAAGTTTTTCTGATTTGACGCACATTTTAACCATTTAAAGGGATCTACAATTAGTTGTAACATTAAACTTTATTTGATAAACATTTATTTTAACTGTAAAATAAAGACTGTAAAAATACTGTAGGATGTTTAGTTCTGTACATTTTTTAAAATATATTTTAACACGGACGGAGCCATTTTATTTCCACACAAAGCATTCTGGGTAAATGATGACGTGGATAGGTCCTCGGTGCGAGGCTGCTAGCGAGCTATATCCACCCTGAAGGTTAATCTTGGACAATATCTGATGATCGACTCTTTTAAATGAAACCAGAGAGCGTTGACAGAGAGGAGAAGGTAGAAATGACTCAGCCTGGAACTGAAAATATGGATGGAGGACAACAGAGCTGCTTCATGGAAGAACAACCTCAGCTACTGAAGAGGCTTAAAAAAAAGAAGTGAGGTTGTAGAAGCTGAAGGGAACACTGTCGTACCAGTTCTGCTGGTTCTTGTGCTGCAGGATTGGAGAACTTGTAGTGGAGTTGCTGCTCTCCTCCTCCTCCTCCTCCTCCTCCTCTGTACATCTCTTCTGGATGTCCTGCTGTCGGAGGTCCTCCTGGCTGCGAAGCCTCTGCAGCTGATTCTGCAGAGAGGCACAGAACCAACATGAAGCCYGCTGCAGCTGAAGCTCTGAGGCACACGGCTGGAACACGTCTCCTACCTGAACGTTGCAGATCGCATCGATCCAGCTCCGCCCCTGGGTGGCGCTGTTGGCTTGGAACGTGTAGRCTGCTACTGCACTCCGGAACTCATTGAGGTAGATGAGGACAAATGAGCCTGAAGACAAAAAGTGAAAAATGTCAGTTTTATCAAAGTGAAACATCAGATTGTCAGCAGTGCTTTGGAATAAGTCAAAACAGGAACAAGTAGATCAGGCCTATTCAACTGGAGACCCGCGGTTGGTTTATTCACAGAATTAATTTATTTGCTGGATGTTCGGCCCCTCAGCTGTTGACCTGCAGTAACTGTGGCCCCCCGGAGCAGTAAATAAAATAAATTTTATTTGAACAATAAGTCATTAAAAAGAGCAGCAGAGGCTCACCAGGATCTTTGAGCTCCTTACAGACCACGTTGTGAATGAGGAGAGGCTGACGGATMGTTTTAACCTTTTCCACCCGTTTCACCGGTTTGGTGATGAGCAGCAGGTCAGTGAAGAGGAAACAGTAGACCTCCATCTGCAGGGAGAGAGGCAGACAGGTGTGAGGAACAGGAAGGAGCTGAGTGTTTACAGGCTGTTTACAGACATTACAGGCTGTTTACAGACATTACAGGCTGTTTACAGACTGTTTACAGACTGTTTACAGACATTACAGGCTGTTTACAGACATTACAGGCTGTTTACAGACTGTTTACAGACTGTTTACAGACATTACAGGCTGTTTACAGAC